ACGAGCTTGTAACAGGAACAGTTTTACTTATATTTCCTCTAATATTACCAATAAAAGCCATTATACTTAACAAATGTATTAGCTTACTGTGTAATGTGGAAGTAAATCTGTGAAAAGTTTAGCTAATTTGAGTTGTAAATCATTTGAAGAACACGAAATGAGAAAAATAACACGAAACCCAAAAACGTCCAGTGTTTGTTACAATAAATCGTATTTGCAGAAAATTGTTAGATTATAATTATTTCTAGGAAAAAAAGAAAAGAGAAAAAGAGTTCTGTCATTTCTTTGTGTAAACTCAAGTTATCATTATTTCTTAAAATACAATTCAAGTTAAGTCGTTAGTCACACCCGATTAACTTTGCACTGAAGCAGGGAATGCAAAAAAAAAAAGAAGTTAAAAGCTCATCTTAATAGTTTTACAGCGGACTTCACCATGATAGAGATATTGAGACTGTTAATTTGTCATTATCGACATTTTGGTCTTTATGGCGAGTCTTCTTTCAGTTTTCTAATAACGTTTTGACTTCTCTGCTAAAGATCTAAGGCTCTATGAAGTTGTTTTCACTATTACAAAACAATGGGATCCTCTAATAGTAAACTACATCTTAAGCTTACCTATTTATTTTAATCGCATTTTAACTGTTTTGACGCAAGGTTATAAAATAGACTATCTGCATTCTGTCCACCGCGAGGAATCGAACACAAGATTTTAGCGTTGTAAGTCCGCAAACTTAACGTTTACCCACAGGGGTTTTATAAAAATATCAAATGACATATCTGGATAAGGTCAAAATTATATAAGAATACCATTCTTAGAAAATTTTTATTCATTCACGATTTCTGATTACGGGCGAGTACATGAAAATAAGAATGAAGTACAAATATGCCACCGAACAAATATTTTTTTCATGAATAAACAGTGCCCTAAGTATACATTTTATGTAACGAATACAGAACTATTATCACTGGGTCTCTCGGGGCTTCAGCGAGAAGCTTGAGGATTTATAACACTAGTATTTGAGACTCGATCTCCCGAGGTAGTCACGATGTATATAGCCGTTATGCAGGTTTACGATAAAACAGAACAATCATTATTACCGAACAAAATAAAAGTTTACTAATTCATGTATACAAGAGTGACTACTTTCTGGTTAAGGTTAGTTACACCCATTTAAACCCATATTACATAGATATGATATTTTACATTAACGTAAACTGACAATTCTCATTACCGAAACTTATTCGAAATACAAATAATTTTATCTTATTTTATTAATATAGTCAGTATTTACAAGATATTTCAGTGTGTAAAGATGGTTAACAAGTAGGAACCCAGAAATAAAATAAACTTAAATAAAAAACATTTTAAAACCTGTTAAACTGCTATAATGAAATGAAGTGCAAAATTTGTGGGATAACCGTGCTGAAATTTCATTCATTACTGCATTAAATATAATCACACTTAACTGCTAATACCAAAATTCTTACAATTCTGTGTTATGACTTGTTCCTTTTATGTTTTATAATTCTGACAAGTCAAAAATCTTGAGAAATCTAAGACTTCGTGTAAGATTCGAAACTACTATTATTGCACCAGCCGAGTATTGGCTAATTTAATGCCACACTATTAAATGCACGAGTTCAAAATGGTTACGAGGTCGGTCAACTCGACCTACTTTGTAGCGAGAGTCTAATAATCAAGACATGTTTTTACCCAACTTGGGTTTTCTTGTTCGTAAGTCCTAGGCTCTTAGTAACACTACTTTCATGTCTACTCTGATATGATCATGACATTATGATAAACAAACTGCATACCAACAGTTAGAAACATATATATCTTCCAAATGTAGTAATATATTAAAGTCAAGGATGCATTTTACTGTGCAAAATTAATACTAATATTGAAAATCATGTAGAGATGATCTAGGTATAGCTGTATCATCCCTATATTCCTGTTTACATTATTTTACATTTACAAGGTATTTTATTACTTGTTTTGTGGCGTTTCCCCCCGACTGAAAGTTAGTGTATTTTATGAATATGTGCAATAAAATTTAATATTAAGTGCACTGATTTTTTTATTCCTTCACTTCATACATAATATAGGGGTTGGTTCCCTAAAGACAGCGATTATATAGTGTACAAAGCGTTGAGTATTCTACTTGTTACAGTCATCTACGGTGCATCTATTATTGGCTGGTAATTCTCGTTTCACCACGTACTTGAGTTTTCTAAAGGAACAGCAGACTTCTGTAAGAAAGCTAACTTCAAGAGGGTAATGATAACATCGTTTACACTACAATTGACTTTTAAATAAAAATTACTACTAGTTATTACGACTAAGCGATGACATTGTGCACTGCCTATAAACACAGAGTGGATTTATGTTTAAACTGACGTTGGTGATAAAGTAGTTGTAGAGTTATCTCGACTGAAACAAGAAGAAAGATGAACAATTTGATGGGTTGGTCACTTTATGGTTTGATATCTTACCGATGGTTTCTTGCCTTGTTTGGGGGCTTGTTGGGTAGAGAAACAAATGAAAGTGAGTGTCAATCATCTTTTAAAGTAAAACACTGTAATTGTTGATTTTTTATCGTGCATAGTTGTATTATACCTATTGATTATCTTGGCCATCCCTACATATAGTCTACCAACTCTATGATATTTCGATTTTTTTTTATTCCAATAATAAGAAACAGTTTCCTAGACATAACGAAAACCATGAAAAATCCGATAACTGTTTAAATCACTTAACGTTGCACCTAATCTGTCTTCAGATCTTTTATTTTCAATGCACATGAGGCAGCTAAAGCGTTCAGATAGAAAAAACCGACTTCATGCGAGATTTGAAACTACAGTTACTGTACCATCTAAGTATCAAGTGTTAATTAATATAAGAATTTTTTTTTTATTATTCCAAAAGATTTTATGGAGAAAAGCGAATGAAAGCACCTTCTACGTTTTCAAAAGTAACTACTAAAAGTTACACGGGCTTAAGAAATTTCACAGTAATTACATTTTTTTGTTCCTCTTGCATACAAAAAATAATCCACATGGCTGTAAATATGTATAAATATTAACATGTCGAATTTTCTTAGGAATAAATAAATTCGTATTAGCAATGTGAGGAAACATTTTGTAACTGAAGGTAATCGCTTATAACGTTGTACGTTATAATATACTTCTTGTTATAAGTACATGTTTTCTTTAGACCATCTCTTTTTGTTAAACACGAACGTCTAAGTACATGCACCAGTACGTAATAGCCTTTCAACATAGAAATCGATATACATCTTACGCCTTTCTCTTCTAATCCTTTAGAAATTAAAGCCTCGTGAAAATCATATTAAGAAAAATTAGACACAGTATAGAATCTAATAAAATCCGAAAAAAAAAAATAATGAATTCAAAGTTAAGCTTATGTGCTAATTTAACTTGGTTTTCGCTTTCAAGATAAGGCAAATACAAGCCATTGACTTTCTTATTATGTTATAATACGCTTACACACTTAGAACAGACTTAAAGTCTAAACTTGATCATTCAATTTCGCTTCGGACACGAGATAGAAAACCTCTGCTCGACATTTCCAAAAAATAAACCCAAGTCTTTAATATCTAATTTGAAATCAAAAAGCTCCATTCATGCATCATTAGCGTGTAGAAATCATATATTCTAAATCCAATGAATTGATACCTTGCAGATTCCAACAATTTCACATTAAGTATCAGGTTTATATTTTGGAGTTACTATAGAGTTCATTTGTATCTATTCAACAAATAGTTGAAATAATGATAAACAAGAATATCGTTAAAATTATCTTAAGTGGAGGCATATCAACTTAACCTCTGACTTTAAAGATTCAAAACAGAAAGTTTAATTATACGTGGTTTTTCTAAAAGATGAAAAATATTTTAATGTAAAACTTTGGTGTTTCTTATGCTCTCAAATACGATTCTAATTAAAAACCTTTGCTTTTGGCATCGTGGAAGAAGCACAAACGATTTTTCTTAAACGCACTTTTTATATATATATGTATATATATAAAAACAATAGTTTTAGAAAGTTTAATATGATTTTACAATAACTGCCCCACTTCCAAGAAGTGTTTATACCACTTCCAGTTATATTCTAATCTAGGAAAGTTCCAATCTCTTAGACACAATTAGCTATCGACGCTATAAATCAGTCGAGATTTGTGCGCTTTCCAATCGTTTGGATGGCTATTCGTCGAAAGAAATTGATAGCAAACTATAAATAATCTATGAAAAACATTAAAATTCATGAATTTATTCACCGGACAATCGACTCTTTTAATTCAAAAACAAGTTTATTAGACCAAGAAGCTCCCCCTTCCAATTTCTCAGTAACATTTCATACCATCAACCATCATCCACTTCATAGATTATTCAATTGTTGACTAATTTTTACGCCAGACTTCACATCTTTAACTACTGTTAAAAACTTTACATTTTTACAAACACGCGAACAAATCTTTGACATATTTGCTAAGAAAAACTGTTTAAGATTATTGCTAATGGTTTGATAAAAACTTCAAGAACTTTAAACTGACACACACTTAATGACATAATATACAATTTTCACGATTCAATAAAGATTGGTTCATTTTTTGTAAAATATACAAGTAGAAAAAATAGAAAATACTGGGAAGTGTGTTAGACAGACAGACAGAAAACTTCCGTAAAACAGTAACTTAGAATAAGCATAAGCTTTGTATTTATGGTTTGTTCTTGTAAGTATGATAAACATACAAGTTTATCAATTTAAATGTTTCGTATAAACGTGATTGTTTCAATTTTCAGTAACTAACATGCTGCACACTTAGAGATACAAACAAACATAGACAAAAATAAAGCCCAATATATTATTCGATTCACCATTCGTTACTGTTGTTGTAGTTGTTTTTAGTACACAATAAATATATACACTCTGTTCACAGCGGGGAAACGAACCCTAGATTTTAGCATTCATAAACTCACCGCTGACTCACCGGGGGCACTTGTTACAGAGTTTCACCGATTTCGGGGAATTCCACTTTTCAATCACACAGGCACAAGGGCAGACTGAAAGAAATACAACCAGAAGTACCATACATACGAGGAAAAACATTGAATAAGTAATAACATGAAAATATAACATTTTGTTACATACAAGTCAGTTGTTCAGAGTCGCAACTATAGAAGGATATGGAAGTTATTACTTAGGCTGCTTCCCTCACAAACACACACCAATTAGAAATTATAGCTTGAGACCCAAGTTTCAGCTCGTTAGACTATTGGCTATAGTTACATGATGTATTTATTATAACCTAATTACTAATTCCCAAAGCCGTTGAATAACATAATGGTAGCTAAAACTCAATATGAAACAGTTTCCGTGACCAATGCAGAAACAGTTTTATATCACTTAATTTTGGACAAAATCTCCTTTCAGAGCTCATTAGATTTTTTACGAGGCAGTTGAAGCGTTCACACTGAGAAACTAATCAGACGTAAAGCTTGAATAACTCGAGTGTACCTCTATAAGCGAGAGTGATATTCGTTCGAATGAATAAAAAATTCTAACATGTCCCCGAAATTGACAACTATATGTCAATAAAAGGGTATAAAAGGCTCAAGAAACTGATTTTAACTTTACTGCACAATTCATTATAGCTACGTCCCACACAGTTTCATCCAGTGAAAGCGTACTTCAGTGGCGGGCGCTCCCGCTTTCTTCCACTTCGTCTCACTAAAATTTCCGTCTACCCAAATATATGTATGTATGCTATTACTGGATTTCCAATCTAATTACATTCAAAATCCACTAGGTGCACTCAACAAAATTCAATTACTCGGTACGGTAAACATAAAAGGTTTTCTTAATCGTTCAAATATCGTCATTCGTCAGCGAATTCGTCTCGTCAACGTTTACGCATCTATCACTTGAAATATAACTTGTACGTTAGTTCACGTTTTTGCTTGAACGCATTTCTTCTCTTATCCCTTGACTGTTTAACTGCCACTTCGTAATCAAATTTCAGGTTCTGCCCAGTGCTCTGGTTTTATTATCCTAGATGAAGATAACATTATCGAACAGCATTGTCCGTTCCCAGTTATACTTTTGTTGATGTAACTTCGGATTCAAAACGATATCCTGGAATGACCATTTCTTAGTAGGAGAAAAAATAAAACGTTTAAATGACTTGTCTTTAATAAAAGAATAGTTTTCCTCTTTACATTATTACACGAATAAAACAAATCCGTCTTATTATATTTACAAATAATTTCCGATCAGACTAGGCTCTGTTCTTAGAGAGAAACTTAAAATCAATGATTACTAATTTGTCAGTAATAACTCCATGAACGTCTTTAAACATACTAGCTAAGGGTACCCATTAAGTAAGCAAAAACTGTATAAAGGAAAATGTTAGATAATGTTCCCCTTCTTTCTTTTTGTTATTAAATCTCTAATGACCTCATTACATGCTAATTGCATATCCTGCTTCTTAAAAGTTAATTTACTCATTCAACCGATTAAGTACCTGTATCTTCAAATTTAAAGCTAAAAGTCTATAAGAAAAAGTAAAAGTGTGCCCTATTTTAGGGTGTTTATCCAAATATCCTAAAATAAAACAGCCCATCTACATTGTAGGATAGTTACCATACCAAAAATCACGGTAATCGAGCCAGCAAACTCTGGGCGATGGATGCTAACACACACTGAATAATCATTATAGTACGTTATTCTGTGTGTGTGTGTGTGTGTTGTGTGTTTTCTTATAGCAAAGCCACATTGGGCTATCTCCTGTGTCCACCGAGAGGAATCGAACCTCTGATTTTAGCGTTGTAACTCCGAAGACTTACCGCTGTCCCACCAGGGGACCGTTATTCTGAAAAAGGGATATATAATAAAATAATTTTATAACTAATTTAAAAAAAAATCAAGTTTTCATATTAATTAGCAAATTTTGGAAATAACCTCACGAATAATTTACTTAATATTTTCAATTTGAACATAATAATTTGTGAAGTATAATTATCTCTAAAAACAAAAATTCATGTTGATATGAAGAGTAATAAACGAGATAAGTAAATTATAGAACACCAGGTGTTTATTTAGAAATAAACCTGGCACTGATAGAGTTGTTTATCTGTGGTAGTGAAAGTGTTAAAGAACGTTATTATAATGAAGAAACGCCATTAATAACGTTTAATTCAAACATATAAAATATAGTAAAATACCTGTATAAATCAAACAAAATGTAAAACTTTAGTCGGCACGAAAGGTTGAACATGCTGTCGGAAAAGTTAACAACAGATACAAAGTAATGCCTGAAACACTGGAATACTTTTATAGAAGAAAATGGCGTGCGATATAAATTCAATCTGAAATTTTACCATTAAGTACACATTTCCACAGATATTTCCAGTTTATATTACTTTAATACAGCGTGATGACGTCAGCTTAACAATGTAAGCTTTATTTTCTTATGTACAAGCTGAATATTAAAATACTCGGTTGCAGATAGACAAAAGCTCGAAAACATTGTTGTTGTATATTAAATAACGATATCGAAAGCTGGAATTAAAACGAAGATATTAAGAAACTTGTAAAAGGTTCAGTATTTTTTACAAGTTCATTTGACTGTGACTTGCACAAAATATTGAACAAATCATCAAAATTCTTAAAACACTGCATCAGAACACACTTACATTTTATACTTAGAAAATATTTTCAACAAATGTTACGTGAAATAACGCCGTTAACTGTTTTTAGTCAATGTCCAGTTTGTTTGTTTTTTGTGCAAAAGATTAGAACTCGAGCATATTGCGTTTACAAAAAGCTAACAATAGGCCTCAAACTCTCATTCAGGATGAAAGTGTACAAAAAAGTTAGTATATAAACAACTACAACCTTTTTTGAAAAAAAAAATTGTTCTTTTATTATACAAATCTTACTTTAATCGGACAAAATCACACAGAAAATCTTTGAGACATAATTGTATGCTATTTGTACTAGTCATACTTTCAATATATTCTATGACCATTCTTGTGCATAAATTTCATAAAATAAGTAAGGACGTTCAACGTTTAAAATGCACACTAATTTATTGTATAAAGTTAAGTAAAATATACAATTAAAAACTCTATACAATTAAAACTACATGTTTCGGTGGGAAAAGTTCCACCATTTTCACAAGACCAAAACAAATACAGAGAATTTCATTTTTCTATACCAGCAAGTGCACGTGTATAATTTGCATATTATACAGTTCCACCTACAGAATAGCTTTCCAAAAATTCACTTCTGTAGCAGAAATTTGAAGTTTCAAATTAATGAACACTAAACGCCGTCGAAAATATGGCGGAATATGTGGAAAATTCTTCTCATCACATTGAATAGGATAAGGTTCAAACACTTAAAGAAATTAAGCTAAAAATTAATTAAACATAATAGAATCTCTTGAAATTATTAAATATAAAATGATTTTGAATAGAGGTGCCACAGAAAATGAGTTTTTGGAAATTATTCCGTAGATGGTACTGTATAACATGCCAATTATACACGTGCACTTGCTGGTATAAAAAATGAAATTCCCCTTGTTTCTTTTGGTCTCCTGAAGATGATAGAACGTTTTCCATCGAAACATGTAGAGTTTTTAATTGTATATTTTACTTTTAGCTTTATACAATAAATTATTGTGCATTTTTAAACGTTGAATGGTCTTACTTATTTTATGATAGTCATACAAAGTAACACACACAATTAATGGTCAACAATCCAACTAAAATTTTGGCCCTGAATTCAAATGTAGAACTTCCATGATTTATCTTTCATAAATATAAAACTTGGTAATATATGTTCCTATGTTATTCGAAGTTTTCACAATGAACTACTTCATGATAACGTGTTATTATAGCATTTACTAAGGAACGACGTCGTAAACCCATGCGCGAAAGATTCAATTGTGTTTTTGCATGCAATAGCACATAAAAGTATCCTATGGTTACCAATGTTCCGTCACATTAGCGAGAGCCAAAGTGATGTGGCACTGTTTCAAGGGGATACACGCATTCTTGCCTATAACCAGTAATTAATTCCCTTTCCTGTCAAGTAGTAAAAATCTAACGTTACCAAAACACAGCCACAAGCTCTCTCATAGGGAAAAAGTCGTAGAGGTCTAATCTGTGTGTACATACTCACACCTCTTATCGACCAACCATCTACATGATGTTAATCGATATGAATGCAGAAGATGGGTTATATTTCCGAGCACGTGACTAAGGGCCACTACACCTTTGTCATAGCAACGGTTTCGTGTCCGTAACATAATTTGGAGATTGGCAAACATCAATTTTATGAATTTTATATATATTCACACGCAGAATATGATAAAGCACCGAGTTAGGTGATGTGATCCATTACAGTTGGCTAATAAATCCAAATAGGCGCGAAATAAGTAAAACACACAACTAGCCATCGGTTAAGCTTAATGACTTTATTCCACTTTATTTTAGAGAAACGGGCTGCTAGACAAATTAATGATTTTAAATAAATTTAGCGTTTATATTCAACTTACACGATCGTTGAACTACAATTACCAGTTGCCGCAGTTAAACCTTCAGAAACAAATTCAATTATTATTTTGTGTTCGAACTCGTTCAGCTTATTCCCGAGTGCTACATACAGCATACATTTATGGCAGAACCTTTGAGTTTCTACTGTTAGTGAGATCACACAAGTATACCATATCTTCATGTGACACAAGCATGTAGCATGGAGAGGATCTTAGAGTAACCAGTTCTTCTGTATAATGGTTGTTCTTTCGGCAATAATATTGGTGTTCAAAGGTTAGTATGACCATATGAATAGCAAAATATGTAAGTTATACATAATTCATGTTAGGCTTTTCTAAAGTTTACAAAACGAAAGCGAAATAAAAAAAAATCTGAAACCACCATAGCTCTCAGACTTGTCATCTGCTCAGAAGTCTCCTTGGTATCGCTCTCGATTCATCTGGTATCTCGCTTCTGTTTTCGTAGCGTGTATGGCCACCATAAATATCTGTTTTAGCTTCACT